CCCCAATATTCCGAATTTACCAAAGTTCTATGTTTGTTTTGAGTCAAACCTTATTTTGTGAAAGTTCTTTTAAGTTATATCAAGTTCATAAATTATGTTGTAAGACGTCCAACCTTAAATATATGTACATAGTATAAACATAAAAGAATCTAATGAAACCAATTAACTGTACAAGACATTGATATATTTTCATGTAAACTTGGAACCTAGTATAAATCTAGAACTTCACTTAACTTGAATCCGAGGGACCAGAAGCTGGTTCGTAGGCCGAGCCAGCCGGTAATTTGTGCAAGAGCTTCATTGATTCCGGTGTCGCTCTCATCAAGGTATAAGATTAATATCATTTGGTGTTGTCTGCCTTTCTTTCATCTACTCTTTAGTTTTTCACAGTTTTCTGTGTGGATTCTGATATATTTTTTTTCTGTCTGGTGAGCAGGGAGGTTTATTTGACCACGGGAGCCTCGTAAATGCCATCAAGGGTGCAGATGTCGTGATCTCGGCCGTGGGGACCCCTCAGCTCGACGAGCAGACGAGGATTGTCATGGCCATCAAGGAGGCCGGCAATGTCATCAAGGTCAGTGAGATTATCATTTTGTCTTCTTTGTTGATCGAACGATGGATGCAAATCAATCGCTGAATCGTTGCTGCACAGAGGTTCCTGTCGTCTGAGTTCGGCTCTGACCCAGAGCGGGTTCACCCCGTGGATCCAGCGACCACACTTTACGCTGGTAAAATCAGCCTTCGCCGTCTGATCGAGGCGGAGGGTATACCTCATACATATGTCTGCTGGAACGGGTTCGCCGAAACCTACCTTGTGAGCATCGGCGATGTTACGGCTGTTGGCACTGGTCCTCCGTCTGACAAGACCACTGTCCTAGGCGATGGAGATGCAAATGGTATGTAAGCACGCATCATGTCCTTTTTCGTGCCACTGTAAATCCACGCTATCCTGTGTTGATCTGTATCGATGGACGCACGCAGGGGTGTTTGTGGTGGAAGAGGACATAGCTGCCTATACGGTGAGAGCAATCGACGATACGAGGACCCTGAACAAGATCATGTACATGAGGCCGCCGGTGAACATCGTGTCCCACAACGAGCTCATCGCACTTTGGGAGAAAAAAGCGGGAAGGACTTTCCAGATCGCTCGCATCCCAGAGGCGGATCTCCTCAAGTTGATCAAGGGTAGGGTACATCCATCATTGTGCTTTGAGAATGTACGTAGCTACAACTGTTGCATCTCTGACCACTCTTAATTTGTTGACATGTGTGACCACGCAGAGGCGGCATACCATCTCAACATGACGATGTCCTATTGAATTCATGCTTCAGCTAACTCATCCAAAAATCTGAACTGATGGAGGGAGGTGGGCAATATATTTCTTTTGGTTCGGATACCATATTGAATTCATGCTCCAGCCAATTGCTCCAAAAATCCGAACTGATGGAGAGAGGCGGGCAATATACTTCAACACCCCCCTCACGTCTAGACTTATTTAGCTCTTAGACGTGGGATTTATGTAGACTGGGGGCGCGGCACCCGATCCGATCAAAGATTAGATTGGTTCTTTAGATTAGTTTAGATCAATTCTTCAAATTTCGAATTTTTGGTAGACCAAATTATATTAGGTTGATTTCTTTCCATTAGCCAAATAAATTCTTATTAGATTGATCCCATCTGGTGAAGAAAATCCAGCAGATCGGTGCGGTGGCTGCACCGCCAACCTACCTCCACTTGGACGATGCATCGCCAAACTGTACAAGCAGCCACGAGCCGTTCGACCGCCCGAGTCTTCCTCGATCCGATCCTGCGAGGTGCGAGCGTCGTCGAGCAGGCCAGAATCACGGAGCTTCTTGACGGCTCAATGTGGGTACGACGGTGTGTTTCCAGAGCAGCCACGCGCCGAGACCAGGCGCTGGAGCAGCCGGTTTCAATGAGGCGACGCCGCGCGCGGCACAGGGCTCCTTCCAGCCCAGCCGCACGTCGACTTCGACCGGGGCAGGCTGTGCGATGCGGAAACATCTTACCCTTTGAGGGGACGTGGTACGTGTTATACAGGGGATTGCGAGTCCCTGATACGCGTATAAATCTGTTGGAGATACATGACTTGAGGGAGAAGAAGTATAGGAGATAAGAAGTATAGTTACAACCAAATACAGAATTTAAACTACCCATGCGGTTGTCTATCTTATCTATCTCCTCATACATATCTCGTTTGACACCCTCCCTTAATCACAACTTCATCAAGTTGAGATTATGCTTGAAATCTTCAAAACTCCTTGTAGGCAAAGCTTTTGTAAACCCATCTGCCACTTGATCCCGTGAATGAATGAAACGAATGTCCAAGAGTTTATTAGCAACTCTTTCTCTGACAAAATGGAAATATATTTCAATGTGCTTTGTTCTAGCATGAAATACTGGGTTTGCAGACAGATAGGTGGCACCAAGATTATCACACCATAAACATGGAGCTTGAGAGCTTTTCACACCTAACTCCTTCAAGATTGACTGTACCCAGATAATTTCTGTTGTTGCATTGGCCAAGGCTTTGTATTCTGCTTCAGTGCTCGACCTGGACACTGTGGCTTGTTTTTTTGGCACACCATGATATAAGGTTGGGTCCAAAAAATACTGCAAAGCCACCAGTGGAGCGTCTGTCATCCAAACATCCTGCCCAATCTGAATCAGAAAAGGCACTGACAAGAGTAGAGGGCGACTTGCTGAAGTTTAGACCAACATTCAAAGTATACTTGACATATTTGACAATGCGCTTAGCTGCAGTCAAGTGAACTGTGGTGGGTGCATGTAGGAACTGACATACTTTGTTGACAGCAAAGGAAATGTCTGGCCTGGTCAATGTTAAGTACTGAAGTGCACCTACAAGACTTCTGTATTTTGTACTATCCTCTGGACCCAAAAGTGTTCCCTCTATAAGAGATAATTTTTCTGTACTAGAGAGAGGAGTGGGTGTAGGTTTACAACCTTGCAAACCTGCCTTCCTTACCAAATCTGTGGCATATTTTTCTTGAGAAAGATGTAGCACATCCTTGTGCTGCTTCACCTCAATTCCTAGGAAGTAATGCAATTCTCCTAGATCCTTGAGAGCAAATTCAGCACCTAAATCCTTCAAGAGTCCTGATATTGCCTCATTAGATGAGCTCGTGACAATAATATCATCAACATATATGAGAACAAACATGGAGGTGTTGAACTTGTTATAAATGAACAAGGAGGTGTCAGATTTGGAAGGAACAAAGCCAAGTGTCTGCATCTTTTTACTGAGACGGGAATACCATGCCCTTGGAGCTTGTTTCAGTCCATATAATGCTTTATCTAGCTTGCACACATAGGAAGGTGTATGTTTGCTTTCAAACCCAGGAGGTTGTCTCACGTACAGTACCTCTTCCAGAACACCGTGAAGAAACGCGTTCTGTACATCTAATTGTCGAAGGCTCCATCCCCTGGAAACAGCAATAGACAGTACGAGACGAATGGTAGCAGCTTTCACAACTGGACTAAAAGTATCCTCGTAGTCTATGCCATACCGTTGCTTGAAGCCTTTGGCAACTAGTCTAGCCTTATAGCGATCAATGGTTCCATCAGACTTTCTCTTAATTCTGAATACCCACTTGCAGTCAATGAGGTTTTTACCTTGCTTGGGGGGAACCAAGTGCCACGTTTTATTTCTTTCAAGTGCCTTATATTCTTCTACCATTGCCTTTTTCCACTTGTCATCACTGAGAGCCTCTTCAATTGTGTTGGGCTCACCTGGTTCACCTGTGGAACAAACTAGACCATATTTGATTATGTCTTTGTAATTTTTCGGTTGAATCAAACCTTGTTGTAGTCTTGTGCGGCGTTTTGGTGAACCAGCAGGATCTGCAGCCACAGAGGATCCCATAGGAGCCAGATCAGCAGCAGAACTCAAGGAAGATTCGCCCGCCACTGTCGATTCTGGATGCACGGGATTTTCTGTGGCTGTGGCCCGAGGCGGTGGTGAGGAAGACGCCGCAGGGGCCGCAGACGATCCAGGGGCGCCGACCGGCTCATCATGAGCACGTGATTGCGTGGGGCCGCCTGAATCAGGAGCCGACCCCGCATCCGCCTGGCGTGTGAGGCCACGCCGCTTGTAGCAAACCGGCTGGTCTGCGAAGCGCGTGCGGTCCAGGCCACTGTCGCGCTGCCGCGTGGCAGCGGGAGACCGGTGCGGGCTGGAGGGCGCGTCTCGCCCTGTCGGAGGGGGCCGCGCGTCATGCAGTGGGCTACTGGAGCCCACGCGACCGACCGCGCCTGGCGCGTCTGACGCGGGCGTGCGGCTGGTCGTTGGCACGGATCCCAGAGGCGATTGCCTGGGCATCTGCAGCTCCGATCCCGAGGGGGATTTGCTCCCCTCGCCACGACACATGTGATGAAGGGCATCTGAATGTATTTCTTCACCGTTTGGGTTGATTTCTTCGCCATTTTCTTCTCTGTTTCCATAGTGTGGTGCTCCTGTAACATCATCAGGTGTCTCATGCGCAAGAGGGTTAGGGTTAGCCAACATATGATCACAACAATTATCAACACCCCCTTGATCATAACCAGAGAGACTTGGAGGAAGCAAGAGAATTTCTTGTTGAAGTACAGCACCAGTGTTTGGATGAAGACCAGAAAAAGGGAATTTTGTCTCATCAGAAACCACATTGCGTGATATATAGACTCGACCAGTGGAGATGTCAAGACACTTTACGCCTTTGTGTTGGGCGCTGTATCCAAGGAAAGCACACTGGATTGATCAAAACATAAGCTTGCATTTGTTGTATGGGCGTAGGTTAGGCCATCACGCACACCCAAACACACGAAGAGTGGAATAGTCAGGTTTGACATGAAGAAGGCGTTCTACTGGAGTTTCATTATTTATGACACGACTAGGGAGCATGTTGATAATGTGAACAGCAGTAAGAATCGCTTCGTCCCAAAACTTTAATGGCATGGACGCATGAGCTAAAAGAGCAAGACCAACTTCAACAATGTGACGGTGTTTGCGCTCAGCTGAGCCGTTTTGTTGGTGAGCGTGGGGGCATGACACATGGTGTGAGATGCCAAGGGTTTGGAAGAAGGAGTTCAACTTCTCGTATTCCCCTTCCCAATCGGATTGGACAACAATGATTTTGGAATCAAATTTACGCTCAACAAGTGCTTGAAAGTTTTTAAACACTTGGAAAACGTCGGATCTTTTCTTAAGGAGATAGATCCATGAAAACTTGCTATAGTCATCAATAAAGCTTACGTAGTAAGTGTGCCGACCAACAGAGCTAGGGGCCGGTCCTCAAACATCAGAGAAAATCAATTGTAATGGTTGGGTAGACACACTAGTAGAAATTGGATAGGGGAGCTGATGACTTTTAGCTCGCTGACAAGAATCACAAATAATTTCAACATTGCGCTCACCAACATATGGGAGCTTATTTTTCCTAAGAAGTTTTTCAACTAAAGCAAAAGAAGCATGTCCTAAACGATCGTGCCATCGTGTTGACGAGAGTTTGACAACACCAAAAGCCTGTTTATTGAATCTTGTGCGCTCCGGAATCAACGGGTAAAGCCCTCGAACACATCTACCTCGATAGAGAATTCTCTTCGTGTCCTGATCCTTAATCAAAAAGAAATATGGATGAAATTCAAGAAAAATGTGATTATCAAGAGCAATTCTATGAACAGAAAGAAGGCTTTTATTGGCACTAGGAACATGCAAGATTTTCTTAAGATGAATTTTTCTAGGGGGGTATGAAAAATTGAGTGACCAATGTGGTTAATCCTCATACCTTCACCATTAGCTGTGTGGATTTGATCCTTGCCACGATACTTTTCCTTCATTGTCACCTTTTTAAGTTCATTGGTGATGTGGTTGGTGGCGCCACTGTCGACGTACCAGTTGGTGTCGATCCCATAGGAGCCATCCACAGCAGCAGGAAGTTGTCCTCGTCTTGGGAGGAGTCGCCGTCGTCGTCGTAGCGATACCAGCAGTCTTTGGCCGTATGCCCGAGCTTACCACAGATCTGGTAGCGAGGTGCATCTGGCCGTGACCTGGTGGAGCCACCGCGACGGACCCTGTTGTTGCCAGAAGAGGGCCGCCTGCCGCCGCCGCGAGTGCTGGAGTTGCTGTTGCCGTGTCCCCCGCCCGAGGCCTTGCCCCTGTTGCGAGGTGAACCGCGCTGATGAGAGGAGCCGCCGCCGCGGCCACGAAGAGCGGCGTTGGCCGGCGACTTGAAGCCGCCCGAGGACTGGAAGAGCGCCACGCACTGGTCGAAGTTGCTCATCATGGAGAAGAGCTCGTCGAGGGAGACGGGCACGATGCAGGCGTCGAGGGCGGACACCAGGGGCTGGTAGTCCATGTCCAGCCCATGGAGGATGTAGGAGACAAGCTCGTCATCTTGGAGAGGCTTGCTGGCCGCGGAGAGTTCGTCCGCGAGGCCGCGCATGTGGGCGAAGTAGGTGGCGACGGACTGGTTCCCCTTCTGCGCGTTGATGAGGGCCGTGCGGATGTTGTTCACCCGGCTGAGAGACTGTGACAAAAATATGCCCGCCAGAGCAGCCCAGAGCGCTGGCGACGTGGTGATCGCGGTCACCTGCACAAGGACCTCTTTGGACAGATTGTTGAGCAGATAACCAAGTACCTGCTGGTCCTCCTGTACCCAAATTGGGTGGAGAGGGTTGGGCGTCGAGGACTCCTTCCCGTCTTTGTCCTTGGTGACGAGGAGTCGGGCCGGCTCCGGTTTGGTGCCGTCGGCATAGCCAAAGACACCGGCGCCCCGCAGCTGCGGCACGATCTGGGCGCGCCACAGAACATAGTTCGTGCGGGTAAGCTTCTCCATGACCTGTTGGTTGAGGTTTGGGTGGGAGGAGCCGAAGGAAGACATGGCTAGGGCACTAATGGCGATGAGCTAGGCTAGATGAGATTGGAAGAGGAGGCTCTGTATACCATGTGCGATGCGGAAACGTCTTACCCTTCGAGGGGGACGTGGTACGTGTTATATAGGGGATTGCGAGTCCCTGATACGCGTACAAATCTGTTGGAGATACTGAGGGAGAAGAAGTATAGGAGATAAAAAGTATAGTTACAACCAAATACAGAATTTAAACTACCCATGCGGTTGTCTATCTTATCTATCTCCTCATACATATCTCGTTTGACACAGGCAACAATGGACGTGGACCCAAGAAGATCAGAAGATTACATGTTTGCATGCAGGTTATTCCATCGATGCTAATTACTGCATTGGGTCGTCGGCCAGATGCAATCTCTTCGCTGCAGCTCCAACTGGTCTCCAGCGCACGGACGACACACGTCTGTGATCACGGGAGAGCAGTTTTCTGCTAGCCAACTACGACGCCCGCGGCACCATCATCTACATCGACCGATCTGCATCTGTACCAAGCCATCGAGCTACATCACCTCCTGCGTCAACCTACGCCGCCGATCTGTACCTGCACCGAGCACGATGACATCACCATGATCTGCACCAGATATTCTTCATCGAGTTGAATCCCTGCATTGAGCTGTACGACTGTGCCAGGTTACGGGCAACATACTTCTTTGGCATGACAGGGCGTCGACACTTCGTCGTCATGGAGGGACGCTTTCAAATGACGCATCATCGCCGACACGCTGCTGCAACGTCATCGCCGGCACTTCATCACTAAGGTCTTCATCACCGTGGTCTTCATCAACATCTTCGTCAACGCACCGCCGCCGCCTCATCCACAAGATGGACACCTAACGTTCTCTGACAGACTTTTCTGCAAGGCGCGACCTCGACGACGGCAATGGCCGCGTCACGACGACGGCATCGACCGCGTCATCCACGACGGCACGACTGCATAGACGCGGCGTCACAACAGTGACGACCCTACACAGCCACATGGTTCTGGCAAAATCGATGTGTCCTCGATGAGCTTCCTCCGATCTTGGCAAAATTGGTGGACTCATCGCCGACGGCACCCTCTGACATCCGCAAGGTGCATCGTCCATGTCTGCAGCTCCGTCATAGCACTTTTTTTACGCCTCCGGCTTTGTGCGGCTTCATCATCCACGACGACCACGACTACCTCGACCATGGCTACATCACCATGGTCGGCTATTTCGACATTAATGGCTACGTCTACAATAACTCATCGGCAACAACTCCAGTCAACAGCGTCCGCCTCGTCACTTGCGTCCACGACACTCCCGCCGTGACTGCAGGAGGGAATAGAGGAGAAGGCAGGAAGGCACTAGAAGGGGATGCGGTCACCGCCCTAACTGCCAACCCATCAGAGACGCAGTTGATGATGGCGCAGCGGAGAAGATGACAAAAGAACAAGACTTCAAATTCAATCGTAATCGTCCGCTTTACTCTCGCTAAAACTGAGGGGGAATGTTAGAAGTATATTTATGTTTAAGATAGAGATAAGAGATAGGGATATGATAGGTTTAGCTTGTCCTCTACTCCAAGTCTCTCTCCCTCCATTGTACCTCTATATATACCTCATACACCGGTCAGATCAATACAATACAATATTAGCCATCCTAAAATTTCTACATGTCCCACTCACTCTCCGTCTTTGTGAGGGGCGACCAAGCCAACTTCGACATCGAGCCGTCCTTTGGTGTCGAGGCCACTGAGCTGTACCCTGACGTGAAGTACACCACCGTCGACGAGTACCTAGACCGCCTCCTCTGACAGTTGTTGTCTGGATGGAATGTCAACCATGACAAGAGCTGACGTCCACAATAAAGATGATGGAGCAGTGGCCTCTCCAAATCCAATGATGTGTGTGGTCTTGTGTGCAAATTTTTATGTTGCTACTACTGGCCGGTGCACCAATAATTGATTCAAACAAGACTTATCCATATGCTACTGATAACTATTCTGCTCCAAGACATTATGCTGCTGCTTATGGCGAGTTTCAGCATGACAATTTAGGAAGGACCTATGTGCGATATTTTGTCCTTTAATTTGTCGAAATGTTGTGTTCAGTGCAGGGAGTACATATGATGATACATTTAAGGATTATCGCCATGCTTCCTTATTTCCAAGTTAATAGTTCACATATATATTCCCTGGAGGTGCTCTACTCCACCCTCCTGGACCTCATCAACCTCTGCAGCACCGGCGCCCGCCCGCTGAGATGATAAGAGAAGTGTGCTGCAGTGCTGGATTGTGTGTTGCGCGATCTAAACATATATTTAAATAAAATTAATCACATATTTAGGAAATGCTCAACATGTACATGAAAAAATATTTTAGATGTATATGAAAAATGTTTCATGTATTTTATAAACGTTATCCACGACGAATAGAAAAAATGGTTAACATTTTTTAAAAATGTTTCATGAAAAAAAGAATAGAAAAGACCAAAGAAAACCAATGCAAAGAACTGGTTGTACATAATTAAACACCACAAGAAATGAAAAATAGGTTTTTTTACTGGTGTTCCTGCTCGGTCGTCCTAGATTAGAGGACGCTATGCCATCGTCTGGTAAAGCAACTCACCCATGAGCACACGTGGGCATGCCAGCTAGTTGCCAGCTAGAGGACGACAAGCATGGCGACCACATCTCACAAAGTCTAACCCCTAACAACCTCACCACCTTTGGTAAATACCATGTCCTCCCAAGAGCCAAAGGGAAGGGGGCCTTCTTAGGAGGGGGATGGCGAGTCCGCAGTGGTGGCCTCATGGGACTAGACGGAGTGGTCTCCACAGACGATGAGTTGCGTCATTGAATTCGTTGCAACAAGGGCAGATCTGAAGTTCACTGAGGGTTTCGATGCTCGAAGCTTGTTCTTGGTGCATTCGGAACACATTAGTTGTTCCTTTGATTCTTGTATATTTGCCATTACTTTTTTCTTTCGGTTGTAAGTTGGATGTATGCCTCGGTTGTTCCTCTGTATATAAAGCGGGGAGAAAACCTTTTTTCAATAATTTGGTTTGCTTACACACACTTAAGCAACACAAAGCTGAAAGTAAACAAGTGTTGCAGTAGAAACATATGACCCATGGATGTATTCATGTAGCGGTGAATGCACATGCACTCCCAAAAGCATAATTAAGATTGTTTGGATGATGACATAGATGAAGGAGAAGGGCGAGAAAATATACCTACTAGCCTAGTGGGGTGCATCATATACCTATATTGCATATATGATTCCTTGCGTAACAAAATATTGTTCAATAAAATCCATCCTTTGTCTAAGGGAAAAGATTGAATGATGGATTGAGTGAAAGCATAAACATTGTTCTTTTCATGAGTAGGAGGAAGGGAAGAGATATCGAATTATTTAGCTAGCCAAAATAATATAATCCCTTCTTGCAAAGAAATAAATAATGATCCCATTGTATCTAGAAGCTCGAAGATGGAACCAAGGAGGGCCGGTATCGAACACGAGACCTAAACAATAGCGCCCTAGAAACCAACCAAACAAAGGTGTCCATAGTAAAAAAAATACTTCTAGGATTTCTAACGGACGAATATGCGCAAAGCAAATGCCCTCCCCTCTTTCAGCTCGATATTACAAAGCAAATGCCCTCCCCTCTAGAAAACTATTAGTTTCGAGTCCGACCTCCCTTGTTCCTCGGTCGATCCCCACCAGAGCCGGCCCATAAGCCGGGCAAAAAGGGCGACCGCCCCGGGCCCCAATAGGGAAAGGCCCCAACTGAACTTATACTAGTAAGCACTATATGTCAAAACATAAGTTCACGTCACATACTAATAAGTTGTACCATGCATAGGCAAATCAGTCTCACTGGCGGAGTTGAGTTCAAATACACTAGTCTCTCTTTATGATGGATGTTTTAATATCATAATGAAAATTATGATAACTAGATTTTTAATGTTTAAACAAATGCATAATTTTTAATTCGGTAAACATGTAAGACATCTCATTTGCATCAAATCAAACCATGTGAGTCTGGATGAACATGTTAGTTAATCAAATCATATGTAGAAGTATAATCAACAATATTTTTAGTTCTTCGATGATTCTATTGTCGAACCCAACTTGCAAGTCACAATTTCTATGCCCTAGAAGTTTCCAAGAATATGACTGCCTAATATACACTAGAAAGAACTATTAAAATATTTGTTAGTGTGTATATGATTTAGAAATCTCTACCATAATATTCAATAATATTAAAATATATATGAACACATGCATAGATATTCAAATGTGTATACACTACACTGTTTATGCAATATTCGAAAAATAGATCCAAAAATTATTTTAACAATAAAGAAAACTTTTGGTACATGATAAAATTTTCATTTTGTAGAATTAAAATTTTCAATGATATACATTACAATTGCATAACAATGAATAATATAACTATTATTTGAAAACAATCTTATGTGGCTAAGCAATATAAAATATATATTAATTACAATTATAATGTGGTACACATTATTTAAAATAATTATAAAAGTTTAGTATAAAAAACAAATATTTTACATCGCCCCGGGCCCAAAAATACTTTGAACCGGCTCTGAACCCCACCCCCACTCCCCCTCCCCGAACCTGAATAGAGCGAGCGAGCTAGGGTTCCTCTCCATCGCTCACTAGGGTAAACTTGGAGCAGAAAAAAGAATTAACAAATTTTATTGCCTCGGAGTATGGTTTACATCAGGAGAAAATTGGTATTACCCATCAGCAACTGTGTTATACGCGCCGAAGCATGGGATAACAAAATGATCACGGATGTAATAGGCATGGACATGAATGCATGCGGGGAGTTCTGGCAGCTGCAAGTAAGCAACAACCCACACCACATTTTTCCTTTTACTTTTCTCTTCTTTTCGTGCCTTCTCTCACATTTTTCTTTTGTAGCTCAAGTCAACCACTAGGGCAAAAGATAATTTGTTTACTGGAGTGGCAGCCGCTGAAGCGTTCGTCACATCGAAGCTTCCAACTCCCGACCACCACCCTGAGGTAAATCCCTCATGGATGTCTTTCTGTTTTCCATAGTATTCTTCTTTATTTTTGTTTTATTGTTTCAACAGCAATCTAACGGCCATTCTCAATTCTATTTCCAATTACGAGGATCAGAAAAGAACAAAGATCGTAGCAGTGGTGAAAAACAAGTGTGTTGTTTTTAAAAAGGAGATGGTGAAGCTAATTGAGTCCACAGTGGATACTGAGGAGATTGAGTCAACAGTCAGCAGGCCCATCCGAGACAAAAAGAAGAGATGGCGACATGGACGAAACATCGATGAAGAGCAAGACATGTGGCGAGCAAATGGCAACGACGATGATGAAGATGACGCTGAACATGAGGACAGAGTTGACGAGCAAAACGTCGGCTGTGACAAGCGATATTCCCAGAACAATGACAAGGACACCGAGGAAGAGCAAAGCCCTTATGAAGATGCCGAGGGGTGTAGCAGAGGACTTCATAGCGAACAAGACAATACATTTTTGTTTATCTGGATCATTGTAACATGTAGTTGGATGGAAAGGATGCAAGCTTGCTGTGTTGGCAGTAAGCAATGACTCCTGTAGGTGCTAGTACTAGTTGAATGTTTCCTAGGAAATAACTAGTATCATGATTAACTAGAATATATAGACAAAACAAAACCATGCATGATTTTTGGGTGCTTTTACACATATAAAAACATAGGAACCAAACATTCAAGGTTCTACTATTACCTTATCGATTCCTTTCTTTCTTATCTATTTATGATAGGAACAACGTACCCTGATGCCTCCCCTGTTTAAAAACCTGAAATAAGAAAAGGAAAACCTGAAATCCCCATAAAAACGGAAGGAAAACCAAAATAAGGAAGCCCATAGGTTGGGTGGGATACGCCTATGCCTCGCTTTGTGCACAAGGTATTAAACAAATGTGATTCTAAAAAGATATTTATAAATATTAAACATGTATAAAAAATTACACTGTCTTCACATTTCTAAAATGAGATTTTAAAAAAAGTTTTGAAAAATGTGTATTTAGAATATTTCCAAAATATAAACAAACAAACACATGACATGAGCATGATCTTTGGAGTGAGCGGTGCTAATATTTCTTTGTTTCCGATGCAGTTTTAGTGCAGTACGTGCTAATTCCCAACACTTCTTCAGTGTAGCTCACAGGATTGGGAAAGTCCGGTGCGGATTTTTGGAAGCTGGGACTAGGCGAACCTGCTTAGGCAAAAAAAATGTAAAAAAATATATGAAATTTGTCCGAACAAAGCATTGTCTAGTGTAAAGTTTCAGGACAAATTGACTTTTGTGGAATTCTTGGCCAAAAAAAAAGATAAAACTTGTTCGGTCCAAATGTGATTTCGTCGCCCTAATTTAAGTTGCTTTTGGTCATACAAAAAGCCGAACAAGAGCTTCAGTGTTCGTTCTTCAGTGCACACGAGCAGAGCTCACTCTCATTCACTGATGAGCAATCGATCAGGGCAAGGAGGAGGGCCTCAGCTCAGGGGTTCTTGGCCTTGATCCTCAGCTTCCTCGCGATGGCGGCCGCCCTCGGGTGCCCGGCCTTCCGGCTCTCGCCGCCGCTCTGCTCCATCTCCACCCAGTTGATCACCCGGAGCACCAGCGACTGCGGGCAGCCCTGCGCCGCCGTCGCCCCCTTGCCAGTGCTGCTCCGCTTCTTCTTCAGCCCGGCCTCCAGCGCGGCCTCCAGGAACTCCATGAACCAGCTCCCCGCCTCCGCCTGCATCTGCTTCGCCATCCTCAGC